TTCTATATTTATTAATTTTAATGTCTTCTTCTCACTTTCCATACCTGACTCTTCTCCCTCTCAGTTTATTTCTAACCTTCTTTCTCCTTTCATTTCTCTTTCTCTTTCTTGTCTTTGCCTCTCCTTCTCTTTCACTCTCTTACCTTCCTTGTTCTTTTCAATTTTTCATTTTTTTCTTTCTTTTGTTTCTCACTTCATTTCTCTCTTTCTCTCATATTCTTTTCAATTTTTCCTTCTAATTACTGCTTACCTCTCAACTTTAACCCTTCTCCCTCTCCCACTTTGTTTCTAATTTTCTTCCTCTCTTTCTCTCTCCTTTCATTTCTCTCTTTCCCTCATCTTTGCTTTTCCTCCTCTGTCACTCTTTCACCTTCCCTGTCCTTTTCCATTTTAATTTGGTTTTCTTACTTTTCTTTCTTTTGTCATTCCTCCTTTTCTCACTCTTTTTTTCTTTTTAATTTTTCTTTCTTTCTTTCTTTCTAGTTACTCCTCACATCTTAACTCTAACTCTTCTCTCCCCACATCATTTCTAACTACCATCCTCCCTTTCTCTATATATTTTCATCTTTCATTTCTCTCTTTCTCTTTCCTTCATCTTTGACTTTCCTTCTCCCCTACTCTCTCATATTCCTTGTTTTTTTCCTTTTCCATTTTCCACTTGTTTTCTTACTTTTCTTTTTCTCCCCCACTCTCCAACCCTCACTCTTTCTCCCTCCTTTTCTTTCTTTCTTTCTTTCTTTCTTTCTTTCTTTCTTTCTTTCTTTCTTTGCTGTAACTACCATAACTGTCATTCAGATCTTTCTTTCTTTCTTCCGTTGCTGTAACTACCATAACTATCATTCAGATCTTTCTTTCTTTCTTTCTTTCTTTGCTGTAACTACCATAACTGTCATTCAGATCTTTCTTTCTTTCTTTCGTTGCTGTAACTACCATAACTATCATTCAGATCTTTCTTTCTTTCTTTCTTTCTTTCTTTCTTTCTTTCTTTGCTGTAACTACCATTTTTCATTTTTCCTTTTCTTTCTTTTTTTCTTTCTTTCTTTCTTTCTTTCTTTCTTTCTTTCTAGTTACTCCTCACCTCTTAACTCTGGCCCTTCTTCCTACATATTTATTTCTAATTACTATCCTTTCTTTCTCTACTTTCATTTTCCTTCTTCCGTACTCTCTCACTTTCCCTGTCCTTTTCCTTTTTACTTTTCTTTTTTTATCCTCTCTCCCTTACTCTTTCTCTCTCATTTCCTCTGTTCTTTTCAGTTAATTCTTTCTTTCTTTCGTTTGTTTGTTAGTCTTGGGTGTGGCAATAAACTACATCCGTGTCCTGGGTAAGACAATAAACTACGTCTGACAGCAAGGCCTCTGATCAAACTGGGGTCAAAACACTATGAAATTGTAAAAATAGGTTTTAATCCCAGAAATACTTTGTAAAAAAATTATTACTAATAATACATTATTACCAGCTGTACATTTTTGGAAAAAAATATTAGCAGCACTATATTTTTGAAGAAAAATGTTACCAGAAATAGATTTTTGAAGAAAAACATATTACATTTTTGAGAAAAAAAATATTACCAGCAATAAAAATTGTCGGCATTAAATAACCCATTGGGTTTGATACGCCATAAAACAAACCAAACCATCTTTCTTTCTTTCTTTCTTTCTTTTCTTTCTTTCTTTTTTTCTTTCTTTCGTTGCTGTAACTACCATAACTGTCACTCAGATCTTTCTTTCTTTCTTTCTTTCTTTCTTTCTTTCGTTGCTGTAACTACCATAACTGTCACTCAGATCTTTCTTTCTTTCTTTCTTTCTTTCGTTGCTGTAACTACCATAACTGTCACTCAGAGCTTTCTTTCTTTCTTTCTTTCTTTCTTTCTTTCTTTCTAGTCACTTCTCACCTCTTAACTCTGACCCTTCTTCCTCCCTTTATTTCTAATTTCCTTCCTTCCTTCTTTCTTCTTCTCCTTCCACTTTTGTTTCCTTGCATTTCTTCTCACAGACCCCATGTTTTAGACTTCCGAGTGCAGAACTCCCAACTGCACCCTCCCCGCTTATACTCACCTTCATTCCTATGTCCTAAGAGAATTAAAAAAAATAAAACGACTATTTTGCCATTTTGTCTTGATAAGGCCGTTGGTCACCTGAGACAATCTGGTGACATTTAATTGTCAACTGAAGACATCTTGCCAATCTTAATGAAGGTAATTAAGAAAAGAAAATTTAAAGGCTTTTTTTTTTCACTCATTGGCCTGATTTGTTGTTGTTGTTGTTAGATTCTTCTTGAACCCTCCCACCCGCACACTCTCCTAGATACCACCCCAACCCTATCCTCTCTCACCAATGTGAATGTTTATTTCTTTCCTAATCAGTTTCAGTTTACATATGTTGATTGAGTGACTTGTTTTTTATGGCTTACCAACCTTTTGCATGTTATCTAAAGACAGAAAATATTTTTAGTGTTGTGAAGCCCTAAGTCCTTCATGTTACTATTCAATGCTCCTGTGTAGTTGTTTTCTTTCTCCTAATTAGAATAGTTATATAACCTGGGTATTCCGGCTATGTTAATTGGTTATTCTACATACTACTACATTTAGATTGTAAGATTTTTTTGAGATAATAATGATTTACTAATACAAGTACTATTAATTAACCCATAGGTTGGGGGAGAAGAAGTGAATTCATAACTTTCCCAAGAGTATTTGCATATAAGTGAATATAACGAACCTGACTGGAATTAGAACTCGGCTCTCCGATTTCCAATCCCAAGCCATTATCCATTACACTACCTTCACATCCAAGCTTACAGCACCTGGTATTCCTGAGTGGTTACCCATCTAATTAACCTTTACCACACTGCAGGTACAAATAGTCACCGTAGAATTCTCTCCCTTTGCTGCTCTAGGCACAATCTGTCGCCTTGAGATGGTTGCTATAAATAAAAACTTGTCAACTGTTATTTCCGGTATTTTAAGCTGGAAATCACCTACTACTGCTTTGGAACAAGGATAAACTTCTGTTTTCCAATGCTATTTTGAATTCTTCTAGACTCTACATGAGGTGTAACATTGATTAAACCCACGTTAATGTTTTTGCAATTTTTTTGTAAACAAAAATGGCTGCATCAATATCCTACAAAGCTTTTATTCAGAAGATTTTCTTTGATTCAGACTCCAATGATGATTTTGAAGGCTGTTCCCAAGTGGATATTAACGGTGAAGTGGTTAAAGATGATAACCACACTATGTTTTTGCACCCTCCAAAAAAATGCAGTGGCAGGGGGAACAATTCTAGAAAGAAATTAGCATGGTAAAGGTTAATGACCAAGCTCAATGTTGCTTAACTTTGGTAAATTTTTATGGGTCCTGTTACGTGTTGATAAATGTAACAAAGAAAAAAAAAATGATTTACCACAACACAGAGCTAAATCACAAACAAATATTTAATTTACTAAAACAGAACATAAAATATATACAAGATAAACAATTGTGGCCTACAAAACAGAAAACAGAGTTACTGGCAAGTGTTGAGGAGAAGGAAAGGGAGTCAAATATCTTTTAAATCACTTTGGGGCTAGTGAATAATCTAAGTGCTATATTGGAAATCCACAAAGGTGTGTAAATAAATATTAATTTTAGTTTGGTCAATGAAAATTAGTCAAAATTCTATTTACCAACTTTGTTCCATGAAATTCTCTTTTGGGTTTTGGTTGGTCGGGCAACTTTTTATAGAGATTCTTTTCGACTGGATATAATAGTCCTTGAAAAAAAGCAGAGTTGCAATCTGTTTTCACCAACTGACAACCTTTTTTCCAAAATCCCATTTTTATAGGGCTAACACCTAATTTGCATTTTTTCTAGATGTTTCTAGAATCATCTAGATTTTTCTCAAATATACTAGAATGATCTAGAATCTTCAAACATTCTATTTCTAATTTCACTATTTTACAACTACTTCATGAATGAAAACTTTTTTGTAATAACAAGTAGAACTCAAAGGAATCCCTTTTTATAGAAATGCATCCTCGTAACAGGTCCCTATTTGAACTCAATCACCTGTTATATTTTTTCTGTTATTAAAGTCTTATTTATATTATTTACATGCTGACTATTGTCCTCATCTTTGTTGTTATTATTACAATGTTTCAGCCATTGCACCCTTTGGCCTTCATCAGGTGTTTGTTGATCTGGGTTACCTTTAGGAAATTTCGGACTGAATACTTTTATTTTTTTATTTATGGTAATACCCAATGTATAATACGCATTTTTTCTAAAAGAATAATAAGCAAAATCAGGAAGTGCGTATTATGCACAGCTACAAAAAATCTTTAAAAAATTGCCATAAAATAAAATAAGAATTATCATAAAACTAAAAATAGTTTTAAACATAGGATAATATTATTCTAATATTATTCCATGTTTAAAACCATTTTTTTAAATAAGAGTAGGAAATGGTGTCTGTAATGAAATTGGAGAGGTAGAATTTATAGGGTTTGATTACCAAACAAGGGGTGCATATTATGCATGAGTAGAAGCATTTTCCTACACTTTCAGCACAATTTTAGGGGTGGGTATTATGGATGAAGGCGTATTATACATGGGGAATTACGGTATTTGTTCTGTTTTTGATCATCATCTTCTTCTTCTTTTGTTCCTCCTCCTCCTCCTTTCTGCATTTTGTTTCACTTTCTTTATCTTTTACATTTTTGTAATGTAGCACTCAGTTCCATTTCAGCTGAATCCTTTTTTGTGCAAAAAAAATTCTTCTTCTTCTTTCTCCTCCTCATCCTTCTTATTTTTTCTTCTTCTCTTCCTCCACCTCCTACTCCTTCTTATTCTTTCTGCTCCTCCTTTTCCACTCCTTCTTCTTCTTCTTCTTGAATCATTGTTTGTAGAAAGAGGATAATTCTTTTATATTCATTTTCTTCTTCCTTTTTTCATTCCACCTCCATTTTTTTCACATTTTTGTTCCTTTTTCTTTTTCTTTCTTTTCATGTAGCACTCGGTTTCATGACAATTTCAACTGAATCATTTTTGTGCAAAAAAGATTCTTCTTCTTTCTCCACTTCTTTCTTATTTTTTCTTCTTCTCTTCCTCCTCCTCCTCCTCTTTATTCTTTCTGCTCCTCTTCCTTCTCCTCCTCCTTCTCCTTTCTTCTTCTTGAATCATTTTTTTTGTTCAAAAAGAGAATTATAAACACACAAGAATTTGAATCTTCACTTTTGAATTTTCCAACCAATAGAAATGCTTGTAGCGAATGCTAAATTTTACATCTGCACATAAAAGTTATTGAGTTCAAAATTAAAAGCAAATCAAAGCATCTTTTCCAACACAGAATTCTGTCATTTATTTCCCTAGCCAATAAAAATGGTCATGTAGAATTACACAAAGAACTTGGAACAACCGCTAGATGGTGTTGCCAACGTACTCTATAAGCAAAGCTTCTTTTCCTACAGAATACACGAGAGATAAGACATATCTCATTCTCCTCTTGGGGGACCACTCAGCCTCTAGCAAACCTCATGTCATACTGAACACAATACACAGCATACAATGTCCTAAGATTATTTAACTAGACACAAGCATACCTAACAATAGTTCTATTTAGTTTTTTACCTTTTCTTTAATTAGTGCACATGTTAGACCATGCCATTGCTAGATAAAAAATGGACCATTCCTGTTTGCTTGTGAGGATAGACAGAAAAAAATAATACATCAAAGGTGTTGTTTGGTTTTAGGGAAAGTAATAAGAAAATGAGATGTGTCAGTGGTGTAATAGGTATTAGCTTGGAACGAGAAATCTGAGAGCTGAGTTTGAATTCCAGTCGAGTTCGTTACATGCACAAATACCATTGGGAAAAGTATGGATCCATCTCTTCATCCACCAGCTATGGGTTGAATAGCAGGACAGACTAGGTCATATAGCCTTGATTGGCAACCAGCCTACAGCAGAAAGAAATGGCAACCTACTGTGGGAAAATCTTCTGCCTAGTCAGTCACTATTCGAAAGAGACATGATCGCACAAGTATGTATCATGTATGGACCTTAACTGATTGAACCGTGAAAATGACTTTCAAAGCTAAGTATTAAGAAACAGGAAAATTATGTTAGAAACAAAGAAAAGGGTAGAGATGCTAAGTGATATAATTTAATGTCTAATAAAAGAAAGTGAGTGAATGATTCAACTTTCGTTTATTAGACACCAGCTTAAAAATCTGTGCAGATTTTTAAGCTCATTAAACCCAAAACTAAAGGAACCTCTGGTCCAGATTAGAAAACAGTAATGATAATTTTGGAGAAATAACTTTGAATTCCCCAATTCACTCCATGGAACTTCAAAACCTCACTTTAACTCTGATTCAGGCTATAAGTCCAATTCTGGCTAAAAGTCTGATTTGAGCTGAAACTCCGATTTGGGCCAAAATTCCAATTCAGGCCAAAAACTGAATTCTTCAAATCACAAAACTCTGCAGAATTTCAAAACCACAAATCATGAAACCTCTCACTTTAACTCTGATTCCTTGGAATTTTGAAGAAATAAAATTGATTTCTTCAATTTCCCAAGTTTCGGAGATATTTTAAACTGAATTTAAAACTTAAAAAAATTTAAATTCACAAAGTTTCTGTGTTACTTTAAACTCAATATAAGAACTTTTAAAACTTTTAAAATCACTAATTTTTTTCATTTATTTTAAAATTTGAATTTTTAACTGTCTGGACACAAATCCCAATGCTGGATGTTCAAGCATCATTTTAAATCCCAGGGTCATCCCAATTCCCAAAAGGTATCATATGTCTGGGTAGAGCAAGTGTAGCTCGAATTAAAGGGGTTTCAGACACACAGACAGACAGACAGAATTTGCCATTTATTTATTTAGATTAAATTATATCACTTACCATCCTTTTATAATCTACCTAAACCAGGGGTAGGCAAACTTTTTAGTACAAGGGCCGCATTCTAAAAATTTATATTTTTACTGGACCGCATAGTATATATAAACCAAAATAATTGATATTTAAAATTGGCAAAATAAAGAGCTTTTAAAGGAAAAATATAGTTTTAATAAATAACATTTTAAAGTACCATGTAAGTAGAAAAACTTATTTATTTGAAAGATAAAGTAACTGTTTGAAGAAAGAATTTTTATTACTATTATAAAATAGAAACTATCAAAGAAACATAATTATTTATTTTATAACATCACAACTGAACATCAGAAGGATAAAAATACTAATGGGAATGATGCACTTGAATAAAAAATCTGTTTGTGCTTGGCGGGCCGCATGAAATCGTTTGGCAGGCTGCATGTGGCCCACGGGCCGTAGTTTGCCCACCCCTGACCTAAACTTTTCAGTTAATCTGATGTATATTTATGTGACTCTCTTATTTAGAAAAACTAACATTTTTACTTTTGTTGCAAAATAAAATTTCAACTAAACACGTCGCCTAAGATAAGTTTTCCTTTTGTCATTGTTCATATATATATTCATGCATTTAGATTTTAGATTTTGCTGATAGAGAATAACAAAGAATAATTGTCACGATGACAATAAAAAGAACATTTACAATGTTAATTTCTTTGCTGTTTTTTTATGTCCTGGTGTTGTGTGTATTTTAAAACATAAAAAGTCCCATAAATATGATTTGTGATAAAATATTTCAAACAAACTTCTGACATGAATTCAATTTGTTTTATGCTTTTCACATATAAACTGATACATTTCTTTATTGTTCTCTATATTTTTTGTTTTTTTTTATTCTTTACTTTTATTAAAAAAAAATTCTTTTTTGTCTTTGCTGCTTGTAATACAGACTTTATCTAATGCCAGGGATTTTCACCTGCTGAGGTCCTAAGTTTTATGAAATTCAAGGCCCTTTTCTAAAAAAAATTGGGTAAAAAAATCTGAAATATTTATGAATTTTATTTATTTATACTATTTACATTGTTCGGACTGTTATCCTCATCTTTATTACCATATTCATGACGTTTCAGTCATTTTACATTTACAGGATCTGTCTATATTTCTAAGATGAGGTATTGTAATTATTTACACTATTTACATTGTTTGGACTGTTGTCCTCATATTTATTGCCGTATTCATGATGTTTCGGACGTTGTATGCTCCAGCCTTCTTCAGGATCTGTCTATATTTCTGAGATGAGGTATTATAATTATTTACACTATTTACATTGTTCAAACTATTGTCCTCATATTTATTTTCATATTCACAACATTTTAGCTGTTGTACGCTCCAGCCTTTTTTAGGTGATATACATACATTGGGATTTTCAAATCAAACTCTTTATTTAGTCCACAGGTGTTGATTTGTCGTATTCTATCAGCACACCCACATTTTTTAAAAATAACAGGAAAAAAAAAGCTTAATTAGAGATTGTTGTAAACCTCTTCCAGGATAAAAGGGCCTCAAAGCATCAAAGAATAGATTACTGCAGTCAAGATGGTGAGGATCAAAGTGTAGCATCTGTTCTAGCTGTCGGAGCATGACTCCAGCCATCAACAGCAGGCCAGCCATTATCATCTCTGGTGCACCATCGGCTGCCCCATCAGCCATCTCTGGTGAGCCTCCATCTTCTGTTGCTCCAGCTATTCCATCAACAGCAACGATATGCAATAAATTGTCCTTTTCAGGACAACACTCTTCTCACCCTCTACATGAGCAGATAAAAATATTTCTTGCCTTGTGCACTGTAACCTTATTTTTACACTATTTACATTGTTTGGACTATTATCTTCATCTTTGTTGCCATACTCACGGTGTTTCGGCTGTTGTATGCTCCGCCTTTTTTCAAGTGATTGGAATTTTGAACTGGACTCTTTATTTCGCTCACGGGATAGATTGTTCAATATATATATATATATATATATATATATATATATATATATATAATGTATGTATTTTTAAGCATTTCACTCCAAGCAAGGTGGGAGTGCCACTGCTTTGCAGGGTGTTAAATAGAGTGAAGTTAAGTGAAAAACTGTGTATTGAGGGGGTGAGGAAAGAATAAAAGATGAATGGAATTCAAAACATCAGTAGATAGTGACTGACATTGCATTTAACTTTTCAAAGATTGTTGTTATCAGGGAAGTAGGTAAATAGAAGGGAGTTCCACAGGTGGGAAGTGTGAGAAAAAAAGCTGTTGGAGTAGAAGTGGCAGTTACATTTAACTATTTCAATGGTAAAAGGGTGGAACCTAGATCCTAGTTTAGTTTAGTTTATATAGTCAGAGCACCAGGGAAAAAAGCTTGACAGAACAGTAGCCATGGAAATATTTGTAGAAAAGACAGAGAAGCCGCATCACATAAGTGAGAAAGTGACTGGAGTTGAGATGCCAAGTCAGGATTGATTACATTGCAGATCTTTCTTCGGATTTTGTCAAAAACCTTAAGATGAACAGCTGGGGTATCAGGCAAGATATGGCAACAATACACAATGCACAGATGAATGGTTGATTTGTAGATATGTAGGATGGACTCTGATGAGAAAAAACTTCTGGCACAACACAGTGAGCAAACTTTCCTTGCAGCAGATGCAGCTATTGATTCAATGTAGTTGTTCAACTTCAAGTCCTTTGAAAGCATAAGGCCAAGAAAGTACAGAGAGATACTTTCCTAGAGTTTAGCATCAACCATGCTAATGGTGGACAGGGAATTATCTTTGTGGTAGCTAAAATATATATATATATATATATATATATATATATATAAACATTAATTGTTTATTCTTTATTTTACAGCTTTGATAATGAGTGTTGAAAAGTTGCAATGAGAGCCATTTTATGCGACCTGTGGGCAAAAAGGGGTTGGGTGGGCAGTGGCAAAAGAAATGAATGATGTTGAAGGCCCATGAACTGTCAACGAGCATGTGACTCAAAACTCGTTCAGATGCAAAATGAAAAATATAAAATTGCGACAATTTACCCATCGCAATCTGTAAATATATACAGGGTATGTCAAAAGTACTTTTACAAACTTTTTGAGTGGGTTCCTCACACCATAACAAGTTCATATAAGCATATGTCTGCAAATACTTCATTTTTGAGTTATTAAGTTTAAAGAAAGTTTATGGTAGATGGCGCTGTGTTGTCATGTAGACTAAGTTACATTTGTCATTTGTGTACATTTTTGGCTAGTCTGTCTTTAATGTTTAACATGTATAGTAGAGAGTTAACTGAAAGCATTCTGTTGAACAAAGGCAGGATATTCGTATCGTGAACAGACAGATATGATTTTTACATACAGCTGCGCAAATGGTAATGGATGCAATACTGAAAAGCTGTATAAGATTGCAGTTCCAGACCAAAGGCAGCAGAGTCATCCAAATTGTGCAGCTGTTTATCATCGTGTTGCTGAGACAAGATCTTTGACACCATAAACTATGAACCAGATCTGCTTGTACATCAGACAATGAAGAACACATTCTACAGACTGAGACAAACCAGATATCAGCACAGGTCAAGTGGTCTTATCATGATGTACATCTCTTAGTACAGCATGGAGGGTACTTCAAGTGCAGCTCACATATCTGTATTATTTGCTCTCTGATCACTCACTACAGGAGAACATTTGCCAATGGTTTATCGCACAAACTGCTGATCTGTTGTTTGTCTATTCAGTCTTGTTTATGGATGAGGCAACATTTGGAAGAGATGGAATAACAAATTTACACAACCAACATTTGTGAGTAGATTGGAATCCCCATGGTATAATACAGGCTAGACACCAGCATCAGTTTATGATTAATGTGTAGGCTGAAATTGTAGGTGACTATCTGGTAGGTTCATATGTTCTCCCAGCAGGTCTTACAAGAGCTCTCTAGAAGGACTTTATTACAAACACACTTACAGACTTGCTAGAGGATGTGCTCCTGCTAATACGAAGATGCATGTAGTTCATGCATGATGGGGCTCCAGCACATTTTAGTCACATTGTTCGTGATGCTCTGGCTGACATCTACCATGAAAGATGGATAGGTAGGGGAAGACCAGTTCCATGGCCTCAGTTCTTTAGATTTTTATCTGTGGGGTCACCTAAAATAATTGGTTTATGCAGCAGACATTAATAATGCAGAAACACTTCATCAACATGTCATGGACACCTGTGAAAGCCGCTAAACTACATCCGCGTCTTGGGTATGGCGATAAACTACATCCGCGTCCTGGGTATGACGATAAACTACATCCAACAGCAAGGCCTCTGATATAGTTTTTGAAAAAATAATGTTGCCAGCTTTAGGTTTTTGAAAAAATAATGTTGCTGGCTATACTTTTTTATAAAAAATAATGTTGCCAGCTATACATTTTTATAAAAAATAATGTTGCCAGTTATATGTTTTTATAAAAAATAATGTTGCCAGCTATATGTTTTTGGAAAAATAATGTTGCCAGCTATATGTTTTTCTAAAAAATAATGTTGCCAGCTATACGTTTTTGGAAAAATAAAATATGTTTTTTGCCATATATATTTATATGTTTAATATATATATATTTATATATATATATATATATATATATATATATATATATATATATATATGTGTGTGTGTGTATATATATGTATATATGTGTGTGTATATATATATATATATATATATATATATATATATAACTAGATTTGGCATTAAATGACCTACAGTGGTTGATATACCATAAAACCCAACCAACCAACCAACCTGTGAAAGCATTTTACACAGTGCGGGTGTATTTGAAAGGGTCTGACAGTCAATGATCATGTGGATGAATGTGTGTGCAAAAGCAAGCAGAAGACATTTGTTATGAGTTGATGTATTGAGGTACAAGTATGACCTTTTGTTTATATGAACATGTTTCCTTGTTTTGGTGCCAGAAAAAAGCTTGTAAAAGTATTTTTGATACACCCTGTATATATACAGGGTGCGATGGGTAAATTGTCGCCATTTTATATTTTTAATTTTGCACATGTGTGTTGTTTGTTTTTGATTTTGTAGATTGCAAATAAAGTAGGGTCAGTTGGGCACCATCTGTGAGAAAAAGAGCACCATGATATAATTTACTCTACTAGAAATTTGGAAATAGCATGCTGTACTTCTTGGCATTTGCACCAGAAGCTCCAATGCAAACATTTCAGAGTATTTGGGTGTCAATCTGAGGATAGTGCAGAGGATTCAGAAAGAGTTGGATGAGTCTAATGGTGATTACAAATGTATGGGAAAACTCTGATCATTCTTATAAGAAAAGAACTCCCGAATTTGTTGGTGAGGGCCTCAGACTGAACACAGAAGCCTACATCAAGTGCCTTAAGGAGGTAGTGCTGCTTTGGGACAAGGGGTGGGCTGCTGAAAGACTATGTCTGGCAACAGGACTCTGCACCATGCCACACAAACAAGAGAACCCAGTCATGACTGGTAGACAATTTCTGCAAACACAACCTCCTTACATCTGGCCATCTAACTCTCCAGACTGCAACTTCTTTTATTGTTATGTGTGGGAAGATAATCACCTTCTGTATCCC